GCCCCTACTGCATAGATAGACAGATAAATAATAAATAATAATAATATCAATAATAAAAGGGACGCTGCTGTACCTCGTGCGTAAATGCGCACAGCGCCTCTCTTTATGGGGAAACGCGCTTACTGTTTCTGCTGCGGGGTGGGGTGCTTGCTGCAGGTATTTAATAACCTCAAGCAGATATCTTTTAACGTTATAGTCTTTTGTATTTTTTGTTATGATCCTTCCACTGTAGCTCTGCAGGGAAACACTGCACAGGGGAATAAAAAGTGGGAAGCAGTAACTTCATTGATTATTTAAATCTCCAGATACCAAGTATATGTGCATTTACGCACGAGGCACAGCAATGTTACTTCATTGATTATCTGTTTTTTTAGATTCAATTTTATTTATATAGTGCCAAATCACAACAAAAGTCATCTCAGGGCACTTTACACATAGAGCAGGTCTAGATAGGCTAATACTCTTGAATCGATCGATCTATCTATCTATCTATCTATCTATCTATCTATCTATCTATCTAGGCCATAAGCATAGCTGATGCCAATGTTTTGAGATGCAGTAGGGGCAGATAATATAGATATAACAATAAAGGCGAAAAACAAGTAGGTTTCTGGTTTTGGTTTTATTTCTATATCAATTAGCCATTTGAAGACAAAAATGGGAAAAGCACGTGGATTTATGTTTTTTCTCATTCATACAAAAATAGGAAAATTAAAATGATGCATTGTATATTTGTATATTTGTTTATCCTGTTATAAAACAAGTTAAACAAAGCTGTGGACAGAGGGTATACCAATAGTAGCGAAACGTTCATAATTCACATCTAAGTTTAACATAATGTTGAAAGTTGAAAAAAATATATATGAACAAGTTATGGCATGAGATGTATAATGCTTCATAAACAGCAGTAACTTAGATGGTGATCTCCTTCCTTTCTTGGTCATGTTGATCTTTTTCTTTCCTTATCATTTGAGTTTGTGAATGGTGCGTAAATATTGCCGCCGCAATGACTTGTGGGATGGAATTATCTCCTTTCCTATCGCTTAGGAAGGTCCGATGTATCCTATGCTAAAGGAGATCTGAAAGGAAGTACTGAACCTCCTTTCCTTAGCGTTTAGAGAATTTGAACAGCTCTTATCATGGCGGTCACTAAAATACTTCCAGGTCATTTCACTCAGGTAGGAACCTTCCTAAGCAAAAAAGACTTTACGACCGCAGCCTATGTGTATGTGTTGAAAAGTAAAGTGTATATGTATATGTGAGAGTGAAAATATATGTATGTAAAAGAAGCATGAAAATATATGTATTTGAAAGGAGAATGTATGTGTGTGAGAATGAAAATATATGTATGTGAAAGAAGAGTGAAAATATATGTCTGTGTAAGGAGAATGTATGTGTGTGAGAGTGAAAATATATGTATGTGAAAGAAGAGTAAAAATATATATATATGAAAGGAGAATGTATGTGTTTGAGAGAGAAAATATATGTATGTGAAAGAAGAGTGAAAATATATGTATGTGAAAGGAGAATGTATGTGTGTGAGAGTGAAAATATATGTATGTGAAAGAAGAGTGAAAATATATGTATGTGAAAGGAGAATGTATGTGTGTGAGAGTGAAAATATATGTATGTGAAAGAAGAGTGAAAATATATGTATGTGTAAGGAGAATGTATGTGTGAGAGAGTGAAAATATATGTATGTGTAAGGAGAATGTATGTGTGTGAGAGAGAAAATATATGTATGTAAAAGGAGAATGTATGTGTGTGAGAGTGAAAATATATGCATGTGTAAGGAGAATGTATGTGTGTGAGAGGGCCAGAATGAATTATGGCTTGTATGGCCCCTCATATTGATTGACAGGTGTCTCTGCCTATTATAGTCTGCCCTTCTGACTGTCACTGCTCATCCCCGTTCAGCTGCGTCAGGCTTCCTCCCACTGCACAAATTTGGCTTTTCTGGTTTTACCGGTATTAAACATTGTTACCTTATTGTTTGTAATGCTCTGCGTTCGTGCTTTTTGTTTTTTACTTTGTATGGCTGGAACTCTAAGTCACCCAGCCTGTATCAGGGGCCAAACCCTGGCTGTCACTGGAAATCAGTGTCTGATAATAGTCGTTTTAGTAGAATTGACCCGTTAATAATCCTCAAACCAGCTGTATGCTTTATGGGAACCCAATCATTTTTTTGATGCTATCTAAGATTAGTAAAACCCCAATGTTCATCCATAACCGGCGTGGAAGCATCTCAAGTGTTACTGATGACCGTTAGATGGCGGCACTGAGGCGCAGAGGGACCGGCGGTGGAACGGTCCCAGGCAGGCTGGAGTGCTGCTGACTGAGCTAGGGAGAGCAGTCATTCACCAAAGAGAGCTAGTGGAGGGAAGGAGGCTGCCTCATGCCGCCGAGGTATATCGGGAATTAAAAACCTGACGTCCAGCGGACTCTGTTGGAATTATAACACAACATAATGCATCTCTTTGGGATGTGGATGCTGATGGCGGCTCTGCAGGTAAATATTTACGATTTTACAGCGAGTCAGCGATTGAAGGAGGTTGCAGTAGGATAACGGAGACTGATGCCTGTTCTAGGAAGATCGAAAGATGGGAGGGAGGGAGGGGGGGCAATGCATCTGCCTTTGCCTGCTTCGTCTTAATTAATTTTAAAGTCTTAGCTATCCGTGACTAAATAAGGCCCGGAAACAGCAGTGGATATTCACATAGCCTACTGGTAGTTGAATGCTGCTGATCCCAGACCCGCACCGGCTCCACTGCACATCGAGTGATTTATCAAACAAACAAGAGGAACGCATTCGGGTAAAATGCGGCTGCATGTCAGCTGTAGGATTGAGGGAAAGACAGCAGAAATAACCGTTAATAATATCCACCCAACATCTTGTCTCATCAATGACGCAATTCATGTGCTGAAATCAGATGTTTGACTTGTAATTGGCAAACACCAGTATACAGCCTGAGTGAATCAAAGCCCCGATACATAACGTTAGCGTCTCTTGCGACGATTTAAAAAGATGGCAGTTTTATGTGTCCTCTTATAACGCTAACTAGGTTTGGGCTAACGTTGTTTGAGCAAGGTTTAAACGTTTTATTAGTCATATCTGTTGGATTTTGCATCCTGTCTGTTAGATAGTCCGGGCTGCATTTATTTTTGTATGTATTATCACATTAAATGTAGAAATGTGGCCACTCGGAGTGGCTGTTCTTTAACGGTCTGTGATGCCTCTTGGCCTGGTTTTATATGAACCTATTGTGAAAGTGGACACTGATAAAGTGTTGCACCTCAACATTATTTTCTTAATGTCTCAGATCATGTCACCTGGTGCTTTGGCATTAAGCATAGCCATTTTTGAATGTAGTTTGTGTGTGGGAGAGAGAACATGACAGCAGAGGCTTCCATTCCAGACAGAGATGTTGTTTGGGCAGCTTGGTGTTCAGCCCATTCCCAGAAGTCAGACAGTAGCTCAGTTCATAGTGACTTGGGTTGGGAACCGGAGGGTCGCCTGTTCGAGTCCCCGTCCGGACCAAAATATGGAGCGTGGACTGGTGGCTGGAGAGGTGCCAGTTCACCTCCTGGGCACTGCCAAGGTGCCCTTGAGCAAGGCACTGAACCCCCCACCCGCTTGGGGCGCCTCACCAAGGGCAGCCCCCTCACTCTGACATCTCTCCACTTTGCATGTATAGATCCTGTTTGTGCATGTGTGTGTCTTTCGGACCTGTGTGTAATTGACAAGCAAGAGTGAAAACATTGAATTTCCCCTCAGAGGGATTAATAAAGTAAATAAACTAAACTTAATTCTTAAAGGACCATACCAACGTTACAACTTACAGGCAGTTTCTCCTACTGCTGCCCATGTGCCTTAGTGTAGGCTATCCTTTGTTTTAGGTTTGAATTGGGATGTCAGTCATCTCAGCAGCACGGTGACCCAGGAAAACACTTTATAGAAAGTATATAGGGAAATAAAAGAAATCTTACACACTATTGTACAGCTTTGTACAGTGGCCAGTAAAAGTTAAGTATGAATTATCTGCATTAACCCTAAACACTTAAACTGCTGTACAGGGTCCTTAAATAATTCCATCCCCAATGCCTTCCCTCCAAAACAGCAATGTCAGCACTCCTAAAGGCTTACCTTAAATCCCCTAAAACCTGTCATAAATTGTTTTTTTTTAATGCTTTTTGAGCTCTTTGTAAAGAATGTGATTATGTGCTTTACATTGATACCTGAAGGCACCTTCCCTGTATGTGTTTGTTGGGATATATGAATATCAGGTGGAATAATATGTTTAATATCGCTGTATCTAAGTGTTTACTGAGATAAATGGCAAACAGCAGTGTGCAGAACATTGTTGAAGTTTGTATTGATAACAGCCCCCCTGTTTCCCAGAGTCTTAAGTTCAATCAAGGACAGATATTGGAAGTTAATTAGCCTGTTTGATCTTGACTACCCCTTCCTTCTGATTGTGACCCCCCTGTCTGTTGACCTTTTCCTCTCAACGCTGGTTGGTGGTTGATGTACTTGTGCCATTTGTGTATCCTGTGTTCTTGGTATTCTGTACCATAATCATATTGATGCTGATTTATTTTGCTCTAAGCATAGCTTGAAATACCATTCATTTGTCTCACTGGAAACTTTGCAGTTTAGAAACATTTTACTTATATGTTATGTATGTATGCTAGAAGAGATAAGACACAATAAAACAAGTGAGGTCTGGGAACAGAGCCCGACCAGATAGCCAGCAGGGCTGCACCATATGGGGAAAATATGCTCTACGTTGAATATCATGATAATAATATTACACATAAATAAAGACATAAGGTCCTACCCGATCAGAATGTCAGTCAAATCAGATTTGGCTGTTAAATATGAATATTTGACTTTTTGTTGCTTTTTTCCATAATTTGAGAGTTTGAACAGGGTTCAGCAGAATGTTCTGTGTGACGGTGACATTTACTTTTATTGTAAACAAGCTAACTGCACAAACAATGGATTGGATGGATTTTTGCTGACACTAGATATCAACAGTGTTATATACTATTTTCTGCCTTCTACTTAGAGGTGGTGAATTCACAGCTCACAGCAACTTAATACGATACAGTCTCTGTTGTTGCATGATTCTGATCCATCGTTTTAAGCAGGATTTATACTTCTGCTTCGAATCAACATTGTACCTACAGCATACTCTGTGTTGACACAGAGCCTATGCTGTAACCTACGCCGTAGCCTTAAGCCTAGCTCACATTACGCTATTTTCACCGTGATTTTGACGTCGCAGATGATCTTGAGAGCCACCTTGGGTCGGAGGTGAGTCGGCAGATAGTGTGCCACAACGAGTCCTCGTGTGAACAAGCCTACGAGCAAGTCGCCCCCTCGTCTGTGACTGGGACTGGATATCTGGCATGCTAGAAAACTAGAGAAGTGTGACATGACTGATAAAGAGTATCAGCCAGTGAGAGGTGGGATACGCCCCACGTCAGCACGCAGGAGGACGGAAGAAATGTGAGGAGGACAAGCCGCCGGGTTGCCACTTGTTTCTCTCCCACGATCTGGCAACACTGACAAGCCAGCAAGCAACAACAACAACAGCAGCGTCCACAGGATCACGGGGAGCGCGTTTTATTTGGACCCAGGCCCTGGGGGCAGATTTTTCTGGGAAGAATATCCATGCCTTTACGGTGTGTCGTCTCCATGTTTGGTGACGTGACCGCGTTATCTGGGGCTCTGTCGGCAAGGGCTCAGTGGAGAAATCTTGTGGTGTGCACACACAGGTTGTAACGCAGTTGGCGAGACAGACGCTGACAGAAACACATGTTGCCAGGTATAAACACTCAAAAGATTATGATGGTCTCCGCGACGCAAAATCAGGGTGAAAATCGTGTAATGTGAATTAGGCTTAACGTGCACCTCCCTAGAAATTTAACTACATGGTGTGGCAGCACAGACCTCCTGTGTATTTTTGTTAGCTGAATACTAGGGATGCACCATACTGGATTTTTTTGCCAACATCCAATATGCTGATATATAACAACTCATATGGCTGATAACCGATACCAATTTCGACATATCCACTTTTTTCCCCACCTAATTTTAGTGATCATCAAGTCTCTTTTGTAATGGAATTAACATCATAATGCATGCATACTCTTATTGTTATGGCCCACCAGCAGATTGAGACATAAAATACAATACTTTTCAGTGTATATAATATTTATTCGTATTAAGGCAGCAAGGTGGTGCTGGTGGGATAGGCTCCAGTCCTCCCGCGACCCCCAACAGGGATAAGCGGATATGGAATTTGAATGAATGAATGAACAAATGTGCAAATTAAGAAAAAGCATGTTGGCCGAATCAGACAGTTCATTTTAAAGCTGATATTGGCTGATACAGATAATTGTTTCCCTAAGTGGAAACAAAGTTTCTCTTCACTTTTTCACTGTGTAATTTATCCTGGCTTCATATGAGTAGAGAAATTCTCTGCTAGTCGCTAGGCTAATTTATACGATGTAAAAATCTATAGGGTAGTGCTAATAATGTTAGCATGTTGTATTTGTTTGGAAAATGTATTTAGTATAAGACAGTTGTTTTGTTGGAGAACCTTGTGAGTTGTAGTGGAGCTGAATTTTATAACATTAAATGTGCTGTTGTTCCTGGCTTCACACGAGTAGAGGAAATCACTGCTAGAATAATTTATACAATGTAAAATGCCTTAGGGTTATGCTAACAACATAAGCATGTTGTATCTGTAGGGAAAATGTGTCCATCTGACAAACCCAGAGGAGCGATAGCATAAGATTTAAATGCTCCTTTGATGGAGCCATAACACTGCTCCAGTATTCTACCCAGTACTCGAGTTGAGGGGGGATGAGGGGGGGTGGCATCCCCCTTGAAATAAAAACAATCAAAATCATCCCCTTTCTAAAACTGCCACCCCCCCTTTCCATCCCTTGTGTCATTATTTGAATGATTGTGGTATTACTGCTATTTCAACATTTATGCTGCATTCACATGGAATCAGGCAAATGGCAGACAGCAAACTGGATATCATGTTAGTGGACAAGAGAAGGACGGTAAAATTTACGCGAGGCCGGCAGAGAATACCGTCCACGGCAATGGTAGATGGCAATTCCATCCAAAGTTAAAATATTTTAACTTTTACTGTTCACCGGCCACGGAATACTCAACCGGATGTGACGTAGTTCCAAAACAGAATACATGGCTGAACTCAACAATGAAAAGCTAGTGCTTTTGGTGCAGCAGCACCCAGAATTATATGACCAAACTTTAAAAGCCTACCGTGATGCTTCCAAGAAGGCGTACATATGGGACGCGATTAGCGCAAGACTGGGTGGAATACCAGTTATGTAATATAAAACGTAACGTTATGAATTGCTTTATTAGCTTAGCAAGCTATCTGGCTCAATCTGCTGTAAAAACATCGCCATAGCAACAATCACGTGTCACGAGTCACGTGTGTCTCATTTTGCCGTTGTGCTGTT